GTTAGATAGTAACAGTACTTTGTAGACAGTAACAGTACTTTGTTAGATAGTAACAGTACTTTGTTAGACAGTAACAGTACTTTGTTAGATAGTAACAGTACTTTGTAGACAGTAACAGTACTTTGTTAGACAGTAACAGTACTTTGTTAGACGGTAACAGTACTTTGTTAGACAGTAACAGTACTTTGTTAGACAGTAACAGTACTTTGTTAGATAGTAACAGTACTTTGTTAGATAGTCACAGTACTTTGTACATAGAGTATCTTACTCTGTTGAAGCAGTCGATCTCATTCAGTCTCTGTTGAATCCGTCTGACCATCTGATCAGCAGGAAGCTCCTGAACACACACACAGTCTCAGTCTATGTGAGTGTGTGTGTGTACCTGCTCTGTGTGTGTGTACCTGCTCTGTGTGTGTGTGTGTGTGTACCTGCTCTGTGTGTGTGTGTGTGTGTACCTGCTCTGTGTGTGTGTACCTGCTCTGTGTGTGAGTGTGTGTGTACCTGCTCTGTGAGTGTGTGTGTACCTACTTTGTGAGTGTGTGTATGTACCTGCTCTGTGTGAGTGTGTGTACCTCCTCTGTGAGTGTGTATGTGTACCTACTCTGTGATTGTATGTGAGTGTGTGTGTACCTGTGTGCTCCACTCTGATTGGTCCTCCAGTAGACTGTCTGTGGTCACATGGACGACTCTCAGCTCAGCACTCAGCTTTTTGGCCTGAAGGACGACAACAACCACAGAAGAAGAAGTGATGACAGGAAGTCTGGAGACTCTGCTCTTCTTCATGCATCAGCTGTATTATTATTATTATATTATATTATTGTAGTTGTCTAACACTGTGGACCAGTGTTAGACAACTACAACAACAGAGTGCAACTGATGTGACTGAAGACCAAACACTGAAGGAAGTCTTCTTCTTCGTTGGTGTCGCTCACACTGACAGAGAATCAATGAAGCTTCCTGTAACACTCACCACTGAGAGTTTACCAACAGCTGGAGGACCCAGGACCAGGACCCTGGGGACTACCACAGACAGAGAGACAGACAGTGAAGTTGAGTGTCTACAGACATTAACAAATAACTTTTTTCTTCATTAAAAGTAACTAATATTCATGTTTAAGTGTTGAGTGTTTAATAAAGTGAGGACAGACAGGAAGTAGAGTCACAGCTTCCTCTAGTGGCTCAACTCATGTCTGACTCAGACCTAGTCTCTCAGAGACCAAACACCTCCAGAGTACTAAATATAATCTAGTAATAATAACTATCCCAGGACCCCTGTGACTCATCTCATGACTCCTCCCAGGGGTCTTGGTCCCCCGGTTGAGACCCGCTGTCCCCCTCCAGCTGGAAGACTTACTGTCCACAGTGGTCCTCTGCAGCAGACGGATCAGGTAAGTGATCGGATCCTCAGGCTGATCAACCACCAGGCTGGACAACATGGTCTGAGACACACACACACACACACACACACACACACACACACACACACACACACACACACACACACACACACACACACACACACAGACTCAGTGAGGTGGTCCTGCTGTTCTCAGATCTGCAGCAGGTTCTTTCTTACCTGCACCAGGTTAGAGATGTTGTGTTGGTCAGCGTAGATGGAGGTGTGAGGAGGAGCCCTCAGATGTTTCACCGTCTCATCCATCAGATGCTGCTTTCTCCTGAGGACCATGAACACATCACATTTAGAATGAATCAATGATCCTGAAACTTACACAACTTTGAGGTACTTGTACTTTACGTTAGTATTACTTTATACTTCTACTCCACTACGTCAGACATTTCTCATGTAATCAATCAATTTTTTAAAACAACGGGGACAGATCCAGCACGGACAGTTAGGGAGTGAGAGACATAAAGCACCTGCTGAGAAATTATATATAGTTATAAATACATCATTATATATATGTGTGTGTGTGTGTTTTATATTATAGTGGATATTATTATATGATATATATATTATTATATTATACTGAGACTATAATAAGATGTCCTGACGTGTTTATCAAAGTGTTATTTAATGTTTTTTTCATGTTGGAATAAAGGTTAAATATTTAACTGTAAAGTAGTAATACGTGTTTGATACCTTAATGTTTTTGCATTAAATCATTCTGGGATGTTTGCTGACATTGATTGATGTGGCACAGCCCTACAGAGAACATGTTCCACCAGCCGACACTGATGTTAGCTAGCATTGACGTAAACACGTTAGCAACATAAAACTGACGTTAGCTTCTAACTGTGAGTCTTAAACGTTGTTTCTGTTAATAGTTGAGACATCGATAATAAAGCCTCCTGAAGGTATAAACTGTAGAAACCTTCTCACCTGTTTAAGGAGCCGGTTGCTACGGAAGCCTTTGTTTGTTGTTAGGGAATGACGTCTTCAGCGCGCGCGGTGCCGGGAGTCTCTGATGGCGTTGCCGGGCAACGGAGTCCGTAACTGTATGTTTACTGTTAACAACCGGAAGTAGAAACATCTACTGTCATCATTTACCAAAATGTGAAAAAGTTTGGTTTGTAATAAAATGTTAAAATGTTATGAAAATAAGACTTCCGGTCTTCATAACCTTCAAAATAAGAGCCGTCTGGACGGGACGTAGTTCTTTCGCTGTAATAGTCTGATGACGTCATAGAAGAAGAGTGGGTTCTGGGTTAATTTCAATAATTCTAACTATATGATAATCAGCTCCATACTTCTAATATCACACTTCATGTATTTAGTCATGTTTCATATTTTTTAAATAATATATTTTAAATATCAAATATTTAGATATTTATCCCCTTACACACAATCATACAAATAAATACACTGCATAGTTACAATACTAATTATAATTATTACTACTATTTCATCTTTTTTGGTTTGTTACTGTCAATGTAAGATTTAT